GTAGGTAAAAAATAAAACAACAAAAATCACGACGTTTCGGCCGCGACACAAGCGGCTTGTGTTGTGGCCGAAACGTCGTGATTTTCGTTGTTTTATTTTTTTTTATTACGTTATTTCCAATCTGCGTTTGTTGTCTGGTATGGGACGAGCTCATTAAGCTGCCGCAACCCACGGAGGCATGACTAATCAGCGCACTGTTCAACAATCAAGAAAGTCGCGGAGGTAAAAAGTAAATAACAAAAAAATAAACGGAACAAAAATGGAAACAACTAAATTAAATCACGACGTTTCGGGGGCAACACACAGCTCACACACAGCTCTCTGTGATTTTTACACCTGATGAAGGAAGCTTGTGTTGCCTCCGAAACGTCGTGATCTAATTTAGCTCTCTGTGATTTTTACACCTGATGAAGGAAGCTTGTGTTGCCTCCAAAACGTCGTGATTTAATTTAGTTGTTTTCACTTTTTGATTTATTTTATTTACATTTTTTTTTACCTACGTGACTTTACCGAAAGAACCAAAGAGTATGGATCCTTGCAGTCACGAAAACTTCAAATCTAGAATCAAGAAAGTATTTGCTGATGCTGATGCTGCTGCCTTGGCAGCGGCGCACAGGCACAGTTAACAACGACGGCCCAACGCATTGTGTTCAATAACACCGTGGCCCCAAAGGTAAACGTATGTGTAATAGGTGAGGTTTTTGGCAAAATAAGCCCTTTATAGCTCGTGAATGGCAATCTTTAGAGCGCCATCTATGTGCTAAGAAGAAGGGAGGGGCATTGCCTGAAACTTCACCTATTCTATATTTGTATCCTGTAAAGGCCGCTCACGGTGTTAGTGATGAACGAGTCAAGTTTTATTGTTGTAAAAAATAAGGAATCGTTTCTTAAACGAGACAATTCATTGAACCTCTACAGGGGTGAATATCAAACGGGCACTTCAGTAACAACTTGCTTTGTTTCATCAAACCCTCTGTACTTATTAACATTGTACTTTATTTTACGATTGAGCACCAATCGTGAAGCTGCAGTCAACGTTAAGAAGGAGTGAACTGGAGGAAGGATGGGGTGTGCAGCTTGAGGTTAATGAGAGGACAGGTGCGGCCAATGTATCTCTTTCAATGTATCTCTTTCAATGTATCTCTTGCAATGTATCTCTTTCAATGTATCTCTTTGAGTGTATCTCTTTAAATGTATCTCTTTCAGTGTATCTCCTTCAATGTATCTCTTTCAATGTATCTCTTTCAATGTATCTCTTTCAATGTATCTCTTTCAATGTATCTCTTTCAATGTATCTCTTTCAATGTATCTCTTTCAATGTATCTCTTTCAATGTATCTCTTTCAATGTATCTCTTTCAACGTATCTCTTTCAGCGTATCTCTTTCAATGTATCTCTTTCAGTGTACCTCTTTCAATGTATCTCTTTCAATGTATCTCTATCACTCGCAAACCCCAAGGTCGCGACCTAGAGATGCTCGTTCTGAGTTTGAAGCATGCTTTCATAATAGAGGTTTTATTTTGGCTTAGATCGCGTCAATATAAATGTGTCGTTAAACCCCGCCACCACCCGACACAGCCAACTAGTAAGGTTTGTCACCTAAACAAAACATGACAATTCGTTACTAGTACAGCACACCGGTGTGTTGGAGAGTAAACCCACAACATTGGCAATTCCAGTACGACGTTATGGATAATATTGGTCGCGAAAGCCTACGTGATAAAATGTTTAACTACATACATTTTAAAGCTAATAAGATGACAATTTTTGAAAACACCAAATATGGGATTATGTTGCAATACTCCTGAAACACCGGGTCGGTTTTCAATCATTAGTGCGTGCACAGAGACAGTGATCCCCAATATAACCCACACTGCACATGCTATTGGGGGCAGGGCTGCTCGCAAGCATTCATCGAATATAAATTGTGGGGGAGTGGAGGCGGAATGGTTAGCACCCAACACACTGTGCTAGAGCGTTAGTGTAAGTGAGTAACCTACCAAAGCCGGGTAGGCACTCAAACGGCCGCTGTGGTCAGAACTAGCGCAGCAGGTGCTCCTGTAAGACTGAGTAAACCTAGGGGAGGCGCGGTACTGCTTCCGATATAATTTGCGGCTGAGTCGACCTCGGGGAGAGGTGCAGTGACGATTCAGGTAATTGCCGCCGGTGTTAGTCGTGGCGAGGAATCGAACTCGGGCCGCTGGGTTCGTAGCACAGCGCCCTGTAACTACCCCTCCCCCACCGGGGGGGGGGGAGCAGGGGGGGGCGGAATTTTTCGCTCCCCCCACCTCTTAACTTGGCTGCATTCGGGCGTTCGTGCCCTGCCTCCTGAGCTCGGCATTTCCTACGATTTAAAATGTCTTGTGCAGCACCTCAAGGACCTCCCACTGGTGGCCTGCCTTCGAATCATCGGGCACTTTGGGGGAGGGAATACGGAGAGGCCAGGAGGTGGGTGAGCCACTTGGCGTGCTGGGTCATGAAACGTTTCCAATTTTGCCGTGTAGCTCCACCGTCTGCAATGGCTTGCAGAGGAATATGAATGTAGATTGTCACTTTATTTATGACTCTCAGTTAGGTTTACGTAACGAATCGTGCGAGCAGTGGGCCCCTTCATTATTTATTGTTTCATCTATATATATTTTTTATCTTTTAATTATTCCAGTTATATTCCACTCCTTTTTTTGGGTTTGTCAACGCTGTCCCGTATTTTATACGGAGTGTGCTTGCCCAATATCGACCGGTGCCACAGCAGAATTTTGTTTAACAAGCCTGCCTCTGCTGAAACAGAATGTTGATGCTGGCCCAGTTAGTGCGCTTAAATATTTGCTGCTTGATAATATTTGATGAATTGGACACGAAAAACAATAGGCTGCTGGCTTAAACACGTATTTGTTTGGGAAAACACTATGTCGTTTTAAAACTATATATTTATTTATATTAAGAGACACTGATATAGACCTTTGCTTATATTTGCTTCTGCCGCTTTTTGTGGTGTTTTAACAATTTATCTGTTCAGGAAACGTTACGTTTTCACCAAAGGGCGTTTTAATGCAAACAATGGCATAAATGCAGCGATACGTTTTGATGGACATCTGTGATTGTAAAAAAAAAATATGTAATGAATAAAAATAATAATAAACCTTTCAGATTTTTAGCTTTTGCTGAAGCAGCCCAAAGTCGCTGTGTAAGGCAGTCACGCACTCAGTGGCATCAGCACTGCTCTAGGCCACAGCGATGGCTAGGAGATGTTAACTACCTCGCCTGGTATACAGGGGTCGTGGGTTCGATCCCGACCCTGACGCCTGCTGCATATTTACAGTTTGGATATCTCTCTCCCCGTGGTCGCGTGGATCGTTGTCCGGGTCCTCCGGTTTTTCCCTCCACATTTAGAAACAACGTGCTTTGAGATAATTTGGCTGCTTTAAATTTGCGCGCGATAAGTCACTTCGTTGGGCTATCATTACGTGGCCAGGTTCGCTTCTGAAAAAGAGCCGATCGCTACAAAAATTGTTCGTAGTAGTTGCACACGCAATGCACTCCCGATTGCAGTGCTGATGCAGTGAAGGCCACAACGCCGGATGCTGTTGAGCACCGTCTTGCGGGATTGTGCTCGTTAGAGAGCCTCTGCTGGTTCACACGAAAACAGTGAGCCTAACCCCCCCCCCCACCACCGCATTGTAACCTGCCACTGATGTGGGGCGACAATTACCACAGATTAGACCGAGATAAAATACAAGATGATAGCGGCTGTTGGGCGTGGAAACGGAACGAGTTGCCCGCATCTTCAGTGCGGTGAATGTTTCTATTTGTGTTTGTTATGTGCTCATTATACTTGACACCATAATCATCATCAGTCATGGCCCGTTCACCGCTGAACGGAGGTCTCCCTCAAATCAATCCACTGCTATCTTTCATGACGCTTCCGATGTTTTAATGCACCGAGCACCTGCTGGATTATTTTTTTTATCCCTCAATCTCCTCCGTGGACGTTTCCCCCGGACACGTTTCATTTCCTTGGCTGCCACCGCCACTATATTTTTTTTACCATCGGCCGTTATCCCTGCCCATGTGAACACGCTTCTCTTCACGGTTTCATGGCGCCGTTGACCGGCGTACGCGCGTTCTCTCGTCCGCGAGTTCCCCTTTTTTGTTTGACTGCATGCTACCTGCGATGACGTGTGGTTCATAAACACGGTAACACCAACAAGGAAAACAACAGAAGTAATCGTTCACTTTTAAGGGACCCAGATAGGGATAATAGGAAGAATTTAGCACCACTTCCAGGTGACTCCTATTTATCTGCAAAAAAATCACAAATAAAGGGGGAATAATTTACCTGCCGTTACATAGTTTCCATGTTTCGTGTAACCGGTGGCTCGGGTAAGGGGGCATTGCTGGGCGGCAGTGACGATGCACGCCTGTAATCCAGTGCTGTGGCGGCAAGGGTTGGTGGATCGCACAAATGTTGTGAAACTTCTTGCTATGCGCATCATGGTGCACTATCCTGGCTCTCCCGGAGAAGGTGAGACAGCCAAATGTAGACTTCACCTGCTCCGTCTATGGGTTGGTGTTACCCCCTTGCACCTGTGGGGTTTCTCCGGGTGCTCCGCTATGTAAGCTGAAAACATCTTAATATTTCGCGTGCAGAGCTCTGGCAATTGTTGGCACTGGATCACTTGCGTGGCTGGCCACCTACCCGCTTATCTGTGGCTCCTGATGCCCCCGAGCCTCTCTCTCTCTCTCTTCAAGAGTGAGCAATGTGCGGCATGTTCCAAGTTGGCATCGTGATATCAATTCACTGTCCAGTAGTTTTAGCTGTGATGATGACGGTTGTGGTGGTGGACAGCTGTGAAAAAGAGCTTGACAGCTCATCGGATTCCTCCAGTACAAATAAATATTCTGATTCTGCACCAATGTTGAATGCTGTAGTGCGCGTCACTGCGAGCAGTGGGAAGTGATTGCGTTAAACCTGTCCCCCACCCCTCTTTGCCTGTGTTGCAGGTCATCAGTGCGCTATCCAGGCTGTCCCAACATCCCACCTGCCAGAGCAAGAACATTCGGTGAGATCCCCACTTGCACTGTCACGCAAGGGCCCGCTCCTCTGGCGAGCAGTCCGTGAACTGCCAATTTGTGCTGCGCCGTTGTGTTAGGAAAAAGCTTCAGATTTTCAAAAAAGTACACACGACCTTAAGAACACACACGAGGTGTTGCGGTGCACGTGGGCAGCCCAGGTGGAGCAGTGGTGACGTTCGTGCATCACGGCAAGAACCGCCTGAGTTCGATTCTCAACTCGGGCGCCTTTGTCTGTGGAGTTTGTGTTATCTGCAAGGGTTTTCTCCAGTTTCTTCGGTTTCCTCCTGTAGCAAAACACACACACACGCACATTGTCACTGCTCATAAATTGTCTGAAAATTACTCAATTGGGATTACACACGGCAGCATTGCCCCATAGCGCTCAGAAACTTGGTTGAGCCCTCCTGGAAAAAGGCTTTTCGGAATCGGTGAGGCTTTCCTGGGTAAACAAGCTTAACAATAATCAAATCTTCTTGGTTCTTTCGGTAAAGTCACGTATAAGGGAAATAATAAAATAATGCTAATAAAACATAATAAAATTATGTTTAATTTGTATTAAATAATAAAAGTATGTTATATATTTTTTATTTTATTATTTCCCTTCTACGTGACTTTACCGCAAGAACCAAGAAGATGAATCCCTGCAGTCACGAAAGTTTTAAATAGAAATTTAATAATCAAATCTTGACGTAAAGCTTTCGTGACTGCAGGAATTCATATTCTTTGGGTCTTTCGGTAAAGTTCTTTGAACCTATTTATGTGACTTTACTGAAAGACCCAAAGAATATTAACAATAATCACTAGAGGACAGTCTATCGGGATGATGAACAGAGTGATGTATTACTGACACAACGCTCACTTCACCCACATCAGACATTTGCAACTCACGTGACCACCCTCACCACCAAACCAGTTATAGTGGGAGGCCTGTTGAGATGCAGTGTCTCTGCACTGATTAGTTTGCCGCTATAAATCTCCACGTGATAAGACACTTCGTTGAGCTATCATTTGTGGCCAGGTCACTTCTGATAAATAACTTAATGGCTCGGTGGGATTTACCTGCTAAGATATTTATATATTTTTATTTATTACATTTTTACATTTCCTATACTTGCACTCCTATTGTGTTTTTGTATTGTTTGTTGTTTATCGTTCTGACCTGTCCCTACTGGACATCTGTGAAAAAGGGGTTTATAGTTAATCGGATTTCTCCAGTATAAATAAACATTTTTATTCTGATGGTGCAAATGTATCTGTTGTATGATATTTAAATGGAGCTTGTGTCATATGCTGAGCTATTGGAAATGGTAGAGCTACGGAGCAATGCCGGGGTTGATAAGCCACATTATGGGTTCAAAGGTCAACATGTCTCTAATTTTGTGCTCGTTAACGTGATGTACATATGTATCATAGGCTTTAAGTGACAATGGTGAAGCGGTCTAGGGTAAGTTCTCCAGAGAAAGATACATAGATAGAAATAAACATACATACGTACAGATTAGCAGCTTGTCATATTAGCAATTGTAGATGACGATCACTGTTAGTTCCACAAAACAATAACATTAAATTGGCTTTGCGCTTAATTTGGCTGAATTACTGCTCTGACAATTAAAATATCAGTTTTGGTGCCATGTGATGAACATTTCTCTTGGTGGCAGAGCAGGCGGGATTATCCTGCCTCCTGCTGTGTGTGGATCAAGTTTCATTTATTAGGTACAGCCCTGTGAGCCACGCGGCTCTTGAGTCGGGTGCAACCGCAACAAACAACATGAACAGAGAACATCTTAAAGCGACGACGCGCAACAGAAACATCCTGGATAACCATCAAATCTTCCAGAAAAAAAACCCACCGTATTACAACGCTATGTGCAAAAATCCCAGTGTGATGCAAGACAAACAATAACAACCATAAGACAATTTAGATTCAAGTTATCAGGCCAGCTCCGCACTTCCACAAGAAACATGGCTTAACCATATGTTTTAGAAATCACCAAAATAAAGCTATGAAATACAATGTAACAACAGTAATCATAGGAACTTTGATTCAAATTGATATACATAACATGTACGAACAAACTTGCAGCCATATCTGTCAGCATGACACTCCCCGTGTATGATGTGTGAGTGAGTCAATGATAGTGAGTGTATGATGTGTGAGTCAGCGTATGATAAGTGAGTCAGTGTATGATGTGTGAGTCAGTGGTGGTGTGAGTGAGTGTATGATGTGTGAGTGAGTCAGCGTATTATGAGTGAGTGTATGATGAGTGAATCATTGTATGATGAGTGAATGGGTCAGTGGTTGTGTGAGTGTATGATGTGTGAGTGAGTCAGCGTATGATGAGTGAGTCAGTGTATGATGTGTGTGTGAGTCAGTGTATGATGTGTGAGTGAGTCAGTGTAAGATGAGTGAGTGTATCACTCCTCCATGCCATCGTGGCCTCCTCCCCGCCATTGCGGCCTCCTTCCCGCCATCACCGCCTCCTCCATGCCATCGTGGCCTCTTTCCCGCCATCGTGGCCTCCTCCATGCCATCGTGGCCTCCTTTTCGCCATCACGGCCTCCTCCCCGCCATCGCGGCCTTCTCCCCACCATCGCGGCCTCCTCCCCACCATCGTGGCCTCCTCCCCGCCATCGCGGCCTCCTTTTCGCCATCACGGCCTCCTACCCGCCATCGTGGCCTCCTCCACGCCATCACAGCCTCCTCCCCGCCATCGTGGCCTCCTCCCCACCATCGCGGCCTCCTTCCCACCATCGCGGCCTCCTCTCCGCCATCACGGCCTCCTCCCCGTCATCACGGCCTCCTCCCCGCCATCGTGGCCTCCTCCCCGTCATCACGGCCTCCTCCCCGAAGGTAGCCCTGCGATGTCTGCTTCCGTGAGCTATTCTGCAACACTGCTCTGCGAGTGACCTGGATGGATACTGGGACTCATGGACACCGATGGCACAATCAGGATAGCAATGGGGGGGGGGAAAGCAAAAAAAAAAGCAAAATCAAGCATAGGACTGCAGACCTGTGCTGTCACATCCATTTACCGCTTGTGGTCATTTCTTCTTGGTTCTTTAAAACTATAAAATGTGGTCCTCAAACTTTTTTTTACTTGACCTGTTTTGTCTGACTGTTTTTGTTTTTTGTTTAAACTCGGCCACCTTCGCCGACGGTGAAGAGACATACCTTACTGGCTCGAGCTTGCTCGTATTCAAGAATCAGAATCTTTATTTAGACTGGAGGAATCCGATGAGCTATGAAGCTCTTTTTTTCCACAAATGTCCAGCATGGGCAGGTCAGGTAGGTCCGGGAAACCAAGTAGGGCTGATAGCAAAAAATCATAATCTGGCAATCTGAAGTTGGCCAGGAAAAGGAAGTATGGGGCTATATTTTACTGCTTGTTCAGCACCCAGAATTAATTCTAATCACCGATACATGCAAATCCAAATCCGAGGCGGAGCGATGGTGCAGTGGCCACCCACCGCTGGGCTCATAGCACAGTGCTTTGTGAATCGAGTGGCCTCAATTAAACTAAAACTATTTAAAACTAAAATATGTTTTATTTTACCAGGTAAGGCCCACTGAGCTATATATCTCTTTTTCAGAAGTAACCTGGCCACAAACAATAGCTCAACAAAGCGGAAGTGGCTTATCATGTGGAAACTTAGAGCAGCCAAATACTCGGAACGCATGTAGATTCTAAATGTGGAGGGAAAAACCGGAGGACCCAGAGAAAAATCCACGGGGAGAACACGCAAACTCCAAATATATAGGCGTCAGGGCCGGGATCTAACCCATGACCTTCTATATACCAGGCGAGATAGTGGTCATTTTGCCATTGTGGCACCCCAGATCCCAGCCACAGCTAACATCAGTGGCAAGTCCTCTTCACCAACCCACATCGACTAGCCGTTGTGAAATATGGGGGAACAATGCCCATGATCAACATGGTGTGGGGGAGGCCTTCATCCTGCAGCAGCTTGACAAAGGGCTGTACGTATTATCTATGCAAATCCGGCCATGTGGTGCTGTGGATAGAGAGCTCGGCTAATAATTGTAACGATGTGAGCTGTAATCCTCGTGAAGGGCGAACTCTGCTGATCAACCCTCTGGGGTTGGTGAAATGAGAATCATTTTGCGGGATAGGCAATGGCGGCTGTCTTGTGGGAGAGACTGGTCCTTGCCGTAAGAGTGCGGAATTTTTCACCACTGACTTCAGAATCAGAATATTTATTTACACTGGAGGAATCTGATGAGCTATGAAGCTCTTTTTCACAGACGAATAGCTGGTGCACACGTTTGATCTTAAGATGCGTGCAATTGTGAATGGCGACTGTGTATTTTTGCACAGTAAAATATGTGCAGACTCTCGGATCCCAAGAGCTTGCATCTCTGTTACTGTTGGCTCAGGTGTGCGGCCTCAGGACTCGAGTTGTTCACTCAGTCTCGAAGACCGCGGGTCAGACTTCACAAACGTGTGCGCTTGGGGAGACCAACATTTTTTTTGGTTGTTGTTTCACCTCAAATGCGCCGGTGGGAGGCCCATTAATCTCACGGGTTCGTGCGGCTTTGTGAAAACAGCGTCCAATTATAAAGTACGCCTCACCGAATCGCGCGAATGAATTGGCCAATATAGGTTTTGACTTCCCGACGCTCGCGTCCTATCTGCGACCTAATCTTTTGCCCCCCCCCCCCCCCCACCAGCAGAGCGAGTTGCGCCCGAGAAAAGGCTTCAGTGCGGCGTTACGGTCGTGCTGGTGCCAGCCACCAGCGTTTCTGTTGTCACCCGCGAGTGGGCTCGGAGTCGAGCGCCATTGTTGTTGTGAGGCGGTTCTAGACGGCCTGGAACTAACACTAACACTATTTTTCAGTTGGACTGTCAGCTTCATTCCTGGTTCCTTAAGATAATAACCATAGTGGTGAGATGTTAACTACTTCGCCTGGTATACAGGAAGTCGCGGGTTCGATCCCGACCCTGATGCCTGCTGTATATTTGGAGTT